AAAAAAAAAAAAGATTTATTTACCTTTATGCATGCAAGAACTGGGGTACAGGCCAGAGGTGCAGTGGGTGAGAGGATTCACCAGAGACAGAGTGGGGAGCAGAGCAGGCAGATTGACAAAGTGCACTTCTGAGGGGAGCAGCAGGCAGGTCAGCCAGACCATCTGGGTCAACTCCATGGCTGAGGATTGAACTCATGCTGCCGTGGCTTCAGACAGCTTCATAATTCTGCACTTTAACTCATTGCACCACCAGGGAGGGCCGAGACAAAAACTTTCAAGGTTACTTTTTTGGCTATTGAATACTAAATTGATGTGAGCAGTGATTTTGCTTGTTCTTTCCCCAAATTTGAATTTTGCTGTTCGATTATACTCAGCTGGGGTTTGGGTAAATTTTTCAGGAAAAGAATGACCTACCTGAGTTTTATGCATTTCTGGTAGCTGACCAACTTGGGTAACAGTACTGGAACATTTTATGCTCATCTGTGCAACCCATACATATTTTCTTGAGCACTGATGATGTGTCAAGCATTGTCCAAGATGCTGGGGCAGAGTGGCAAACATATCAGTTAAACATCCCTGCCTGTAGGAGAACTTAATATCCTCACGGGGGAGGTCAAATCAGAAAGGCGAAAGAAAGGCAAACAGTAGCACTGCGGACACTGAGGGTCACAGTGATGACAAGTGTCCTTTTGATGCATCATAGTTTACAAGGAGTGTTCATGTAGGGTATTTCACAGTGACTGTGTGAGTTTTATGGCTAAGAGAACAGGAATTCTTTGATGTTGGGTAACTTGCCAAGTAACATCCAGCCAGGCAGTTGTCTGACTCCAAGCTCCATGTGTGCTCCAGTGCCTTTCTTTCCTACACTGTTAGGTGTAATCTACCATGTAAGAGTACAAAATTCTTTCTGAAATCCTGGGCTCATTTACAGGAAGTGTGTTTTAGAAATCAGAGTCCTTTGCTCTCTTTTCTTAAGCGGAGAAAGAATTACTGATAAATGTAATCACATGCAGTTTTTTGATTCTCATTTGGCCATTTTCTCAAGTACGAAGTTAGCAGATACTGTACCAGTAGCAGGAACTGGACGGCAGCTGTGTAGACAGCAGGAGTCTTGTCTGTGGTATTTCATAAGGGTGACTTACACTCTCCTTAAGTATTTGAGACTTCATGAAGCATTTGATTTCTCGTTGCTGCATATTCTCAGATTAAGCAATGCACACTGAAGATGTGTTAGAAACACTATTGTTTTTCGGGAATTTGGACATAACTGAACTGGGTCCTCGGTGAAGGCCTCTCATCAGACTTGCAATTAAGGTGTCAGTTGTTGGGATGAGTTTTTATGTGGGGGTTGACTATGGAAGAATTTGCTTCCAAGTTCCCTTTGGATGTTGGCAAAATTCACTTCCTTGTATTTGTGGCACTGAGGGCCCTAGCTTCCTGCTGGTTGTGAGCTGGTGGCTGCCCTCAGCTTCTGAAGCCATCCATGGTGCTCGAAGGCCCTCCATAGTTCCTTGCCACGTGAACTTTCTAGTGTGGCTTCCTGCTTCATCAAACCCACAGAGAGTGTGTCTCGAGTGAGTCTGCCAGGAAGTACGGAAGTGTTATGTACACAGCACAGTCACTGGAGTTCTCTCAGGTCACACTTGAGAGGATTGTGCCATGGCGTGAATACCAAGGTGTGCCATCAGAGGGTCCTTAGAGACTGTTTGCCACAGTGAAAGCCCTTTTGGTGCACAGACAGGTGTTAAGACTCTGCTGTATCTGAAACAGAGTTATAAGCGTCAGTGCTGCAAAGATGAGTTGGCTCCTCCCAGTGCTTGAGGTTCTGCTCACTTTCCCTGGACAGACTCTAAACAGGTCATTGACAGACCATGTGGAAAGGACCCTGGCAGAGGTTGGTGCACAGTTTCTTCTGTGGAACCCCTAGGGAAGATGACTAGAAGAGATGTCTACATAAACCTTGTAGACGAGGTTTATGTGAGAGCCTTGAAGAGCAAGGTCGAGTTTGACAGCTAAGTAAGAGGATGGGGTCCAGGCAGGAAGATATGTAGTGGTGCCGAGTGTAAGAGAGCCTGGTGCCTGAGAGAATTGTGAGCTGGTGAGGCATAAGCAGGTGGTATTGGTTTTTGGATTGTTTGCCCCATTCATCATTGTTAACTATTGCTAAGAGGATGTTTTTCCCATCATAGGTGGCACTGTTTACCTTTCGGGAATCGACATGATCCATGGCACGCCCGTACTAGACATAAAGCCCTATATAGCCGATTACGACTCGCCACAAAGCTTGGTTGAGCCCCTAGGGAATTTTGATTCACAGTATCACCAACATAAACCACACACTGAGTTCCAGCCTGACAGCAAGACTGCGAGCTGCAACCAGCAGCAGCTGTCAGGGTGGGATGAAGCACAGCCACACAGTCGCACGGAGGAGAATTTGAAATATCCAGGTGAAGCCAGAACTTCAGGAAGAAACAGCTCGAAACACGACGAGACAGCAAATGTCCTACAATACCCACCTAAGCACAGGGAGTTGGGAGCAGATTTGGGTGTAGAGTCAAGAGGAGACCAGAGTTCCTTCGTGGCGGGAGACCGTGACAGCCCATGTCACCTGGAGAAGAGCACCTCAGAGGGAAGCGTGGACAAGAGCCACCCGAGTGGGAGAGAAGCCGCGGCCACGCCAGGAAAGGATGTGGCGCTGCAGGGGCCTCCCCCTCCTCCCAGCATGGCTGAGGCAGCTCGGAGCAGTGCGGTGCCTGCCTGGGTGCGGGAGGCCCCCGTGACCCCCTTGGAAGTCAGGTTCACTCCTCATGCAGCGAGGGACCTGGGGCACCTGAGTTCAGAAGGTGAACTGGGTTCTTTTCGTTTCTGAGTGAGAGATGAGCTTTGGCTAGATTTATCCCAGTTTTTCTTTCCCAAGGGCAGTTATCTGGAGTGTTGTAGTATGTCTGGGTGCAAAGACATACAGGCGTCTAATGTAATGTTTGGGCAACACCATCATCTGTCGACTTTCATTCAGCACCTGCCTGGGTGGCACTGAGAGGCCTGTGCACTCAGGAAAATTGCTGAGGGTGGCTGATCTAGCACCTTGGGCCTGCCTGGTGGTGGTTCTGGGAGTCTTCAGACAGCATGCAGAAGCTAAACAGTACTTGTCCTATATTACATAGACTCAGCTTTTTCTGCAGTCTTACTAGGCTAGAATCTCTAAATCTTGGGTGGCTGATAGCTCAATCTCTGGCCCAGGTTCTAGAAACCCAGAAGGAGTCTCCACGCAGCGCAGTCCCCCTGAGCCCCAGCCCTAGAGACAAGTACTTCACAGCCAGTCAAGGAGAGGCCACGGGGCTCTGCCATAGAACTGTTGGACACGTGGTTCCTGACACTTGCTGTTGCCTGTGTGCACAGTCGGCAGCAGGCCCCACGCTGCGGTGGCAGGAGGGAAGGGGCTGTTAGGAGGTGGTCTCGTGACCCTAGTAGAAGTAGCCAGTTGCCAAGATGATAGCAGTTTCACCTGCCACTCGAGGGTTGTCTCATTCTTTCCTAAGTCTTTGTTTTAAGCGAAATATTTGATTTTTAAATTGGGCTCTTTATTTAAACAGTTTTGCTTATGAAGTTTATCCCATCACGGTATACCGTTGATGGCAGGAAAAAGGTCAGTTGTAAATGGATTTTGTGGTGGAACAGAGCAGTGGTGTTGCAAGACATTTTGTCTGCATTTGTCCTTGTCTTGGGATTATTGTTGAATGCTTCCTACTTTCAAAGTCTTACGATTTTTCAAATGACAGTGCTGAGCGAGATTTTATGTGTTATAATCAGTCTGCCTTATTGATTAAAAACAAGGCTAAAAATGGAAACTATGAAATAGAATTTAAAAAAAAAACAGGAAAGATTTTCAACAGACAACAGAATTTAGAGCCAGTACAGAAATAAGAAATGACTTCAGAAAGTTCAGATTCTAGAAAAGATGACAGACACTGCTATGTAGGGGGTTGCTTCAAGAATAGAGGCTTGGGCAAAGCGCCGTGGGCACACACAGGAGGGGATTCTGATTTGGGGAGTAGGGCGGAGATGGGGAAGACTTCTGGAGTCAGTCAGCCAGGCCGTCACTGAAGAGTGATCATTTTGGATCATTCTGGTTTTCAGTGGCCCTAGAGTCATTTCATGAGCAGCGCAGTAAAGGAATCTTACGCTGTGTAATTGGTCCTGGGTTTCTCTCCAGTAGTTGTATGCAATGGCCTTTTCAGCTTATTTACTGGACTTAGCCCAGGCTGATTTTTGACTGTTTGCTAAAAGTGGGATTAATTCTTAGAAGGAGAAAGACCTACTATGAACCCCTGATGATGTTTTTCACAGAAAACATTGTTTTAAAATTGTTGAAAGCATTTGCCTTCCTGAAAGGGCCTGGCCTTCCAGCCCTTTAAGATGTTTGTAGCTATTAAAAACCAAGTCACGGTTAGTTTTTAAAGTTTTGTATGGATAGTATTTTTAAAAATTAAATTGCGGCCCTCCCTGGTGGCGCAGCGGGTTAAAGCACAGCAA